CAGCTAAATGGACACATTTCCACACAACTCTTTAAACTTAAAATATGGCTTATTCTGATTGTGTGCGCCATTTTAGGAAGGAAATATTCAATTGTACACAGAAGAAGATCAGCATTCTCATGCTCTGTCTGTGGCACCAAGGGCAGAGCTCACAAAACAGAGAAAGCCAACAAGAGCAGAAATGGTGGTTCTAGATTCACAAAAGAAAAACATAGTTTTCCAATAGAAACACTTATTGTCAGCAGGAGCTAGGGAGCCAGGCCCCATGGGCACACCCCCAAATCCTGTATTCTGGCCACCTACCAACCTTATGGTTCTGCCCGCAGACTTTCAAGAGTGGGTGCAGAGTAATTTCAGTTTAATTTATCAAATGTAATCAACAATGAAGACACAGTAATTAGAGATTTCTAATAATGGGGTGACATTTGTCCCAGAGAAGGCGGGACTATTGCCAAACTCTTGATGTGTAAGTTCTCCTGAATACGGATGATTCTAGGAAGTCTTTCCATCAAAGAGAGGATCAAGAGAAAGAAATCCAAAGCTAGTGTACAGAAGGCAGCAGGTTAAGGTGATCCACTGGGTCCTAACGCTATCAGGAAAAACACCTTCTGTGATCAAAAGGCAGAGAAGAACTATCAAACTGCTGCTTCAGATGCTGCTATGGTAGCTATGGTTCCTTTTGTCTTTTATGGTTTCATTGTCATCACCAATGTCATGACATCCTATGGCAGCAGCCTGGAGGTAGTGGATGTATTTACTCCAGTTGTGGGACTGTCTGGGTAGAGCACACAGGTCACATTCAGCAATGCTTACATTAACGGTAGGGTACTGCTTGGAGACGAAACCTTGCGTCACAGGGCATGTTTACATTTTTTGCTAAGTTGATTCCAGCTGAAGAGAATACACTAGCACTGATGGAGCCAGCAGGCTAAAAACAGGGTGCAGCGGCAGTCAGGGAAGAGGCTAGCTGCCAGAACTGTGTGTTTGTCTGAGACACGGGGTACATGGCCAGGGTAGCTAGCCCCTCTCCTCTGCTGAATTAGCTACCACAGCTACATTCTGTTTTTAGAGCACTAGTTCAGTGAGAGCTAGGGAGGGTACATCTCCTTGAACTGGGAATCACAAAGCCAGCTCTAAGTGGAGATATAACCTTACAATGTGGCTACTATTCCTGCTACTGTAGCTTTACTCTTGATTGGAACTCTTTTCTTACGCCTGTATATTTATATCTGCCTCTGGAATTTCCACTACATTCATCTGACAAAGTGGGTTTTTGCCCACGAAAGCTTATGCTCCAATAAATCTGTTAGTCTATAAGGTGCCACAGGACTTCTCACTGTTCTTGCAGATTCAGACTAACACGGCTACCCCTCTTATACTATTCGTGCTAATGCGGAAGAGGCAGTCTGTGCGCACTCATGTGTACACTTTCTTGACTAAACTCGGCCAGTTTAATGACATTGCTGTAAACCAGCATTTGCTATGAAGGGCTTTTTTGTGTTTCCTGCCTGGCCTACATTCCAGCATAGTTCCCAGCAGTCCTCTTGTTTAGCGCCAAGCTGAGATTTTATTGCCTCTTGATTTTATTTGGAATTTCATTTGTTAGGCCCAGTTGTGAGCATCTCTGAAGGTAATGGGAACTATGGGTGCTGCTCAGGATTTTTTTGTTTGTTTGTTTTACAAGAGAGGAAGCATGTCAGAGGTTAGCAGTGCACCAGACTACACACATGCAATTTCCAAAAAAAGCACACATACTGCAGGTCATCTACTGCACAGGCTGCAGGAAGCAATGCAATGGAAGAATAGTTGATAGCCTTCTGGTTCTTGTACTTTCAGTTGAGACCTCAGACAATAGTGTGTGACAGTTTATTTATATACCCTGATTTGCAACTACCATAGTCCTAAAATTTCAGACATTACACCAAAATTCCCCAGCAAATGAACATGCTGTCATTCAAGAACTCATGACAATCTTTCAGGTGAACTGGCTTCTCACTTTTTTTTCTATGTGTATATGAGAAAGATAAGCAATTTCTTGAAATTTTCTGGAGTGTAAAATTCTCTAGAATGAAATGGAAAAACATTTTGCTGTTTTTGCCTAGATCTAAAATAGTTATTCTGATTTTTTCCTAAACTTTTAGATTTCTCAGATATCACTCAGATTCGTTGAACATAAAAATACATGAAATGAAGAAACAAACAATTATCTATTGACAACAGACTGAAAAATGGATCAATACATGCACCTGTTATTAGTCATACAGATCTTTGTTAACATCTTCACCTTTATGATACATGAATGGGCTAAATTCAGCTCTTATTTACATCAGTGTAAACATGGAGTAACACCATCTAGATTAGTGTTCTAAATGTGAGCCAAATTTGGGCTAATATGCAATATGTGCAATTCACCCCAGCACTAGGAATGTAAAAGTGTAACAATGTACATGGTTAACCAACGAGCCTTGGCTCTTCGGTTAACATGCATGGGTACACACAGGCCCCTCCTCCCATCCCCGCTCTATGGTGCTGCTTCTGTATCAGAGACAGCAGTGCAGGAGGAGGAAGGAAGCCAGGAGCTGGTGCATGCAGGGAGTCAGTTTTTGAAGCTGGCTCCCACAGAGCTGCCTACCCCCTGCTCCTTTGTGCTGCTGCTGCTGATACAGTCAGTAGAGCAGGGAGGCAGGCATGAGCCTTCGGCCCCATGCATGTAACCATGTAGCTGCTAACATTTTCAGCAGTTTACACAATAATTTAACTAAACACATTTTAACATCCCTATCCAGTTCAAAGTCTGTGTGCATCACTTAAGCTCCATTTTGATTTTGTCCTAACGGAAATGATGATTTAAAAAAAAAACAACAGCAAAATTTATTAGAAAGTAATAATTACCAAGATAATAACCTGCAATTCGTTTTGCTATCCTACAACAGGTTTAAAAATAGCTGCTTGTCAATTATCCAGATGACTATTTATGCCAAGGTTAGTGTGGTTAGGAGGTACCACAGATGCACAAATTATTACTTTAATATCACAAACAGATGCAATCAATATACTAAGTAGAAAACTGAATCTGATCAAGTAAAAAGAAACAAAAAATACTTGTAACTAAAATTCAATCTGTACACTGACATCGTATTTTACCATTGTATTTTATGTACATCACAGGATTCTGTTAAAAATATTAGAAAACTTCTGCTCTAAATCTGAAGAACCTCAACAGAAGCAATCAGTGGAACTATTTTCATTTATACTGATGTAAATAAGAGCAGAATTTGGCTGATTTAGTTCAATACTATATAGAGTATTAAGACACATGTAATAGGATCAACAATGGCAAATACCAGAGTATGCATTAACATAAGACCTACGCTCGGGAGGTAATGAGATGTCTAAATGGATAATATTGTATATTTAATTAATGGTTTTTCCTTATGCTGCTAAGGATAGCATAATGTACTTCTACCCAAAAATTATAATCCTGAAAATTATAACTGCTAAATAACATTATGTCTCACCTATCTGCTTTTCCAGTTCTTCTCTCCGTACCCTAGCAAGCCGTTGTCTGTCATCAACTTTTAGTACAGGTGGATGATCTGCAACAAGAAACAAACAAACAAAAACAATCAGAAAAAAAGAATGTTTTTAGAAAATGCAAGTTTACTAGAATAGCAACCACTAGCTATAATGGTAGTCTCAAACATATGAAATTCAGAGTCTCCTGAAATCGATAGCCTTGGTTAAATAATTGTGAACACATTCTAATTATGCCAAGGTGAAAAGAACCAACATAAATGCTCCCTGAAAGTGCTTTCCAGAATCAACACCTCCCATAGAGGCCTATCTGTTCTGTGTTAGAAAAACCATCATATATTTTGATTTTTTTTTTTTGGCTAAATCTGGTAGTCTCTCAATGACGTTGCATTATAATTTCCAATAAGATACTGCATGTTATTCTGAAGCCCCTACTTGATGTATAGCCACAGAGTATCTTACTACATAGTACATTGACCATGAAATGGTAATAGCTATTTTTTTAGGACTGCTGACATGTACATGAAACAACAAGTTAGATCTGACATAGTAATGGCTTTCACTGGGCTGTAATGAGATCTGTAACAGTTATGTTAACATGACATTGAGTCTCCTACATGTGGTAACAGGTTTTTTTTTACTTTAAGTACACAGGCATTTTAGAACAGTGTAGGATCTTGTGTACCATATGTAAACAATATGGTGCAATATCTCAACAAAAATAAGACAATTTTATTAATTTCAGGTAGACCTTGAAAGTTATTGTAACAGGACTGTGGAACACACTTACAATATCTGTGCATCTCTTGGGGACTGCATCAAATGGGATGTAGTGTCAAAAATAATTAACAGCAGTTCCCTATTTGGTGGCACATATGAAAAGAGTTGTTAACTCCTGTCCAATTCCTGGAGGGCAAGTATTCATGCCACCAAAATTATCAGAATGGACAGTAACTGGCAGTCTTAGTGTCATACTCAGCAGTTTAACCAGGGATTGAACAGGCATGAAAACTGAACTATTAATTCATCCTAGAAATTTCTCTCTGAAGCTAGGTTGAGTTACTTTGTCAGGAGAGATGTGAAAAAACTTGCTTTGCCACTAGCTATTTATGTGTTCTTTAAATAAATGTGTTCAATCTTCAGAGTTGTTAATTTGACACTCCTCAAAGTATTGAAAAGTACACTAAAAACAACAGAAAAACAATTTTGGGGTATAATCAAAAGTCACTGTTCTTTTGATACTGGGAAGAATTAGACTCCAGTTTTTATAATTTTCATATTAAAATAAAGAATGGAGCTAGGGCTGTGTCTTCAGAATGAAAAGAGACTAGCATCCTTTCAATGCAGTTGGAACCTAAATAATAATGTAAGCAAGGTAACTATTAGACTCTACTGTGCTTTCAGAATCACAGCTGCATCAATTTTCAAGCAAAGCAAAAATGGCACTCAATTTTTACATGCAGTTATGAAATGTGAGTACACATGTGCCTAATTGACCTAACAATATCAGGCGCATGCTAAGGTCTTCATGTGGCTGCACCTAACTTTGAAAATCTTGTTTTAAAATATCCAAAGCCATGCTCCAATAGAAAATAACATTTTCACAGAATCAATTTGAGGAAAAACTAACATATTTGTGGAAAAACAAATACTGAGGTGAGGCGGAGATATTTTATAAATGATTTATGATGGCTATTTGAGTTACAGCAAATAAATAATTTAAATATAATCATCTGAATTGATGGTGGTGCACTAGAATGACAGATCCTAGCCATCTTGGATGAATAAAGTAGCTGCTGACTAGCTTAAATTTAATTATTTTAAAAATGTTATCAGTGAACAATGATCTGAAGATGTATTACCAATATTATTAGTAGTCAGAGATTAGAGTCCTAATTCAGTGAGTTACACCAATGTAAGATTAGAACAACAGTGGAAAACCACATTCAATGTTGGTAGAATGAAAGAAATTTATTAACTAGACTATATGCTTAAAATTAAGCTAATGTTACTAAAATTCAGTGAAAAGTCATGAACAAGGATACAAGTCATTTTTTTAACCAAACCCACCATGCCAGATTCTTAATTACTGTATATTGGCCTAAACTGCTAACGGCTATGTAGTTGTGCTGTTTTATGCCAGCCTTGATTCTGGGTCCCATACATTGTAGAGATCAGAATTTGGATTGATTTAAGAAAAATGGTGGCTCTTGTCCAATCTTTTTAAGCATAAACAGGCAGCTAGGGGTTGACACAGCACTCCCTTCCAAAATGCAAACAAGCCCCACAATTCTTGTGACTGGCCCACAGAGGATCTGTTTATGGATCTCTAACTCGAGTAGGCAGTAGGCATTTGGGTCACTGTGTAATAAATATGAAATTTCCCCAAGGAGCATTCTGTCAACTTGATGGTAAGCTATCAGGGACATCAGGATCATCTAGAGTACATGCTGCTTCTTTCAGAATGCACTTTTCCCTCCATCTTTCTATTCTACCTTCTATCAGATGTTTACGTAGGAGAGAGAGTCCTCCGAAAGGAACAAAGTTGATAAGAAAAGTTGAACTGAGAAAGTTTCTTCCAGAAATTGCCTAATAATGGGCAGAGGGTGGAATTTGTTTTAAAAAAGTGTTCTCTGCCATTCAGTTTAAAGACATTCAGTTGCTCTTGCTATCTTGCAGATATGCTAGAAAAGCCTTGTGGAATTCAGCAGTACGTCCCAACTTCACAGAAGTGTGCCTGCGCTCGATTACAGGTTGTCCTTCATTGTACTTTTGGGTATGTGTAAGAGGAAGTAAATTTTGGTACAACACTGGATACAAGAGCTCAGAGATGAGTGACACACTAAATATCACATCTGCCTTTGCTCTGCTAATGGATGGAATAAATAGGGGTAATGGAGAAAATTCTACTATGTTAATTATATGCCTTTTCTAGGAAATCAATCCTTCATTGTGGTGGATGTGGTATACCTAGACTTTAGTAAGGCATTTGATACGGTCTCGCATGATATTCTTATCAATAAACTAGGCAAATACAACTTAGATGGGGCTACTATAAGGTGGGTGCATAACTGGCTGGATAACCGTACTCAGAGAGGAGTCCTGTGGCACCTTAATGTATTTATAAAAAAGTCTTCTTGTTTCCCTTTATTCCTGTAGCTAGTTTGAGCTCGTTTTGTGCCTTTGCCTTACTAATCTTGCCCCTGCATTCCACTGTTGTTTGCCTATATTCATTCTTTGTAATTTGTCCTAGTTTCCATTTTTATAGGACTCCTTTTTTATTTTTGATCATGCAAGATCTCATGGTTAAGCCAAGGCGGTCTTTTGCCATATTTTCTCTTTCCTATGCAGTGGAATAGCTTGCTTTTGGGCCCTTAACAATGTCCCTTTGAAAAACTGCCAACTCTCCTCAGTTGTTTTTCCCCTTAGTCTTGATTCCCATGGGACCTTGCCTACCAGCTCTCTGAGCTTACCAAACTCCGCCTTCCTGAAATCCATTGTCTCTATTTTGCTGTTCTCCCTTCTCCCCTTCCTTAGAATTGTGAACTCTATGAAGTATTGTGTCCAGTTCTGGGCACCGCATTTCAAGAAAGATGTGGAGAAATTGGAGAGGGTCCAGAGAAGAGCAACAAGAATGATTAAAGGTCTAGAGAACATGACCTATGAAGAAAGTCCAAAAGAATTGGGTTTGTTTAGTTTAGAAAAGAGAAGATTGAGGGGGGACATGATAGCAGTTTTCAGGTATCTAAAAGGGTGTCATAAGGAGAAGGGAGAAAACTTGTTCATCTTGGCCTCTGAGGATAGAACAAGAAGCAATGGGCTTAAACTGCAGCAAGGGCGGTTTAAGTTGGACATTAGGAAAAACCGTCAGGGTAGTCAAACAGTGGAATAAATTGCCCAGGGAGGTTGTGGAATCCCCATCTCTGGAGATATTTAAGAGTAGGTTAGATAAATGTCTATCAGAGATGGTCTAGACAGTATTTGGTCCTGCCGTGAGGGCAGGGGGCTGAACTCGATGACCTCTCAAGGTTCCTTCCAGTCCTAATATTCTATGATTCTATGATTGTTTGGCCTCATGCCTAATTTCCAACAACAGCATTCTGGTTCCCACTGACCAATTGACACTCCGAGTACATAATTTTAAAATAATGGTTAGGTAGAAAGGTTCCACAGGGCACTGCTCTCTCTCGTCTCTTTACACATTTAGACACTGTCACTCATGTCTGGGTCCCAGAGGACTGTAAAAATGCTAGTCTGTATGGTCAGAGTGAGATTAATTCTGCCTTAATCTTATTCATCATGGTCACAAACTCTGGATTCTCGCACAGAAAAATGGAAGTTGTGTTGCTAAAGGCCTCTGCTACAAAGTTGCCTCAGCTCTCACTGACCTAAATGGAAATTGAGGGTGTGCTGCTTCTTGCAAGTACTCAAACAGATTGCAGGATCAGGCATTGATGTGGAACTGCTGAATGGTCTTGCGGAGATGTCTTTGTGTTCATTATGCTCAGCTGCTTGTTTCGTTACATTAGGGAGATGAAAAGAGTTTCAGGGCAGAATATGCAAATGCACAGTATTTTACCTGCCTGACCAGGGTGCTCTGAGATTATAAGAAAGGTGCTAGTCAGGACTCCCTAGCCAAAGTTTCATTTAAAACTTACAGCATGGATGCAACTCATATGCAGTGCATGAAAATACAGTGAACTCACCACAAAAGTAAAACTGCTTCAACTCTGAGTACAAAATGAAATAATTTTCTGAGAGTATACAGGTAGATCTACAAAATTATTTCAGGAGTTATAATTAAAATGGATCCCTTAAGAAACTTAGTTCTCAGTGCCAACCTTTTTTGTCTCCAATTATTTTAGCTGTAAATAATACTCTTCTAACTTTCCATATACAATTAATATTAATTGAAATTTTCTGTATAGGTTACATTTGAAGAAATTTCATTATAATCAGTGCGCCCTGTAGACTGTGCACTTGAGCGGCCACTCAGAGATTCAAATGCTGCCACCTGAGTAGCAGCGCATCCACCACTAGGTTTGTGTTTCTGCTCATGGTGCACATTCTCAAATGCCTTGGTGTACATAAAAAAATATTTCACAAATGGATGGAAACAATCCAAAAAGATCAGAAGGAACGTTGTCTATAATTATGCTGCGTTACTGATTATTACATCTAATTATTAAGATTACTTCATAGACTATGGGCCAGTTTCAAAATCTCAGGCCACTCTTAACTGGGGCCATTATTACATCATAGATAATACATCTTTTTTCATGCCCATCTCCCTCAAAATCCACAACCTCTCCTCACTCACAACCACTTCTCTTCCCCCCTTGACTTGTGTGGTACTGTTTTCTGGCACTGGGAGATCTGAGGCACATAGTGAGGGAGGTAAGGGTGAAAGAATGAGGAAATGGACAGGATGGGGAAAGCTGGTATATGTGTGAGGGCCCACGGGAAAGGAGGACTGTGTATTGGTCACCAGTGCTATTCAAAGGGAAAGCCTTCCCTCTCATCTACATTTATTCTCTCTCCCTATTCCTTGCACAGTCATTCTCGCATCAGCTTTAAGCCTTTTATAGAGAACATTGTTTTATTAAAATAGACCTAGTTCCTTTCAGCTGTGACAGCCAAGTTTCACATCCTCGAAGATTATTTAGTAAGTGTGCCTGCATATTTTTTACAAAAATAATAACTTAAAAACACCTTTACCGTTGCCACCCCAACCATTCACAGAGTAAACACTTTGTTGAGGATGGGACTTGGGCATTATTTACAACCATGTAATGAAAATGATTTGAGTATGTTTTCATAACAGTGGTGAAAATAACTCAAAGAATCATAGATCTGGAAGAGACCTCAGGAGGTCATCAAGTTCAGCCCCCTCCCCAACTCAGGACCAATCCCACTTAAATCAACCTAGGGCTTTGTCAAGCCGAATTAGCTAAAATCAATAAAGCAATTGCAAGTGAAGGGCCAGATTTCACTAGTAAACTAACTGGTTTGCACTCTTTCACTAATGCAAAACTACTATAACTCTAGTTAACTGGCCACGACACTGAAGCTGTTTTATGATGCTCAACAGTTCTGCAAAACAGCCAAAATATACAGTAAATTCAGCCTTAAAATAAAAAATGTAAATGCCAGCCCTCAGTGCCTGTACTATGTCACTCATCTCTTCCCCTTCCTTCCCCACCCTCCCATGCTTAGAGCCTCCTGGAACACGCCATGTGGTGCTCCAGTAGAGATGTAAAGAATCTTGAGCTCCAGGCGCCACCGCTGCTGCAGTAGCAATGGCACCGGTTGGGAGTCTCAGGATCTTTAGAACTGTCAGGTCCTGGGGCAGTTGTCCCCTTGCCTCTCCTTCCCCCAACCCCGCCCCTCCGCCCCCATCAGTGGGCCTGGTAACACAAAGCTGTGACTCATTCTGCACGTCTGGTTGTTCTTTGTATAGCAGTCAAGTCTTTATGGCTTGGTATAAGAACAGGGAGGGAGCATCTGCGGGGCAGTGAAGTGCTGCTATGTACAATCCTCCAGGGACTTTATTGTAGTGGTGTAGATTTCAGCTATTCCTTTTAAGCACCAACATGCATGAAGCCTAGAAGCTCAGAACCTGACTCTCATCTTCCCATTGCCCAACTGCCCCCTGGAACCAAGTGTTAGGAGTGTTGAGTTTTGTTTGGAGTACAGCAGGAACTTCACTCATTTACAAACAGTGTGAGCGATTGCTTATGACTAGACTCTGGCACTGTTATGAGCCCTGTCTACACTTGTCTTAGCAGGAGGGAAAGGGGCACCATTCTGAAACATGGGTACTAATTTTACTAGTGTAGATAGTCCCTTGCTGGCTTTAAGGTGTGCCTCATGTACTGAAACATGACTCCTTCCATATTTAAACGAAAGGCTTGCCTACACAACTATTAAATGTATAGCAAGTGAGGGTGTGAAATTACCCCACGCCAGTGTTCTCTGTAAGCTGTGCACTTGTGCGACTGCTCAGAAGAGATTCAAATGCTGCCCAGCATATTAGCAGAGCATGGGCAGCTAGGTTTTGTGTTTCCCTTTGTGGTGCACATATAACATTTACTCCACACATGGATTGAAAAAATCTGCACATGGATAGAAAAGATTAGAGGGGACATTGTCATATACTAGCCTGCTAAGATCATATGCTTCTTCTGATGTAAGCACAGCTAGAGAGATGACTTTCTTCACTTTTCATAAACTAAGATGAACCAGGCTTTTTTTTTGTTTTTTTTTGCTTCTTTGTGCACCATCAACACAGTTGAACAGGAATAATCATTCATAATGATTTTCAACTGAAGTAGCAGCAGCAGAAATATAAGAGCCCAAAACTTTTTAAAAGATCCTACAGAAGTAACAGCTTTTCTGTCATCTAGACAAACAAGCAATGGTGGAGAGAGATGTGCAATGGTGTACCTGCTTTAGCAGTGGAGTTGATGGGGCTGTGCCCCGAAGAAGCTGAAGTGGGGTGGCTGGATGAAGTAGCTTTCTTGTCTTGTACTTTAGAGTCTTCTGGTGCTAAAAAGAAGAGGAAAAGAGATGAATTAATCGTGCTATGAGAAAAGAGTTGGGCTACATTCTCTGTTTATTACGCTGTAAGTTATTCCTGTTACGTAGCATTTAATAAGCAACTCTGGGCATCCCTATTATTTAAAAAAATATCCATAACATTTGGTGCAGACAAATGGTCTTTCCAAATTTCCCCAGAAAACATCAAACCTATGCATGATTAACCAAGCTATACAATTCCCCATTCAGGTTGAGGAAAGATGTATAATAAAATTCCCCCTCTCCAGTGCTCTCTTTAATACTGTCTCTAAACTGTCTATTCTGTGTTTTATTACTAAAGACTCATTTTCTCCCTTTTCTTCTTTCCTCTCAATGATGCTAAAAATCCACAGTGAGTCACTACCCCGACCACCAAATGAGACCACTGCTTCCAAAACCAGCTGCATATCCCAAAACTCAGCCTTCAAATGCCTGCTTCTGGTCCATTTCTTTCAGGTGAAGTTGGAATGGGCTCTTAATCCAGGCTAATAAGAGGAAAAAACCCAGAAGCAACAACTGAATAAGGCTGCCCAGTAATTTAGGAGTAGCACAAACACTCCAAACAGAAGTGGGCAAATAACTGATTTTTCAGTTCCCACAGCAAAATCCCACAGGAAAATCAGAGCAAACATTTGGTTCAGTTCCAAAAAATGTTCAAAATATGCCAGTGAATTGGAAAAAGTCTAATCAGCATCGGACAAGAGGGAGTATCTCCTCCCTGCTTGTTTCCGAGGAGGAATTTAAATCCTACCTCCCAGCTGAGTTCCTTAATCGCCAGGCTATAGAGTCACTCTCACTCTCCCTTTGACCCAATGACTTGTTCTATATTTGTATAAGTGGAAGCGATTCAGCACAAGAATTCAGAGAACCCCCATCTCAGAACAGCCTACATACTGACCATTAGGATGCTCAGGTACAAGGGGACAGATTTGAGTTCAAGTCTCTGCTATAGTGTAAGGATTCAAACCTGGGTCTCCTACACCCAGGTAAGTACCCTAATTATTGGGCTAAATGTTATGGTGGGGGAGGGGACACAAACATATATATCTGTTCTAAAAACACAGTTTTCTGAAGCTGGCCCTGAAAACCATTTCTCCAGCTGAAATTATTGGATCAACTTTGCATACAGTTTTGGGTCAATTGAACCGGCATTTATTATTGACAAAAATTTTGCCTGAAAAATTTTGCCCAGCTCTAACTCCAGTTTCTGTATCACCTATTGTACACTGTGGACACGGAAGTAAAGGGGAATTTATATTGCTAAGAGTCAAACACATAGAGCCCTGTGCAGACAGAAATCAGTAACCACAGGCCTCTACTGAGAAGAACTACAGCAGCTAAAGGAGAAGACCATAGTGCTGCAACTCCCAGGAGCCAGCACCCCATGCTGGCAGCTGCTCCTGGCCATGCAGCTGTACTGTCCCCAGTCACATCTGCTGTCTCAGGCTGTGCAGCCCTGCTGGGGTGTAGGGTTATGGGCAGTACAGTGGCATGGCTGGGAGGAGCTGCCGGCATGGGGCACTTTGGTTCCCAAGAGTAGAGACTTCGAAGACTGTGTATTATGCAATCAGACCATAAACCTCTGCTGAAGGTTCAGATGACAATTTAGAGCTGAAGTCAATGGAAAGTTTCTCATTGATTTCAACTGACTCTGTCCTTTGTGGTTCCAGAAAGAGATACTTCACGGCTCTACAAACTACCTTTGCCTACTAAGAAAAAATGGAAAGCTTCACTTTCAAATGTATTTAACCTTAGGCATAAACCAAAATTGTAATCTTGTTCTGGTTATATTTGGTGAAAGTGTAACCGCCACCAGGCAGATTTGAACCTAGACACTCTAGAGCTTAGTGTAGGAACGTCTACAGCAGAGGTGCCAACCCGAGACTCAAAAAATTGCAGCTCCTGACAGAACCAGGACAGAACCCGGAACCGCTCAGGTCAGCAGCTCTCACGGCCATGCCGCTGTGAGCCGCAAGTGTGCTCATGGCCTGCGCCGTTCCACTCACGGCCCCCAGCGCACTGCGTCATATCCTGCACATGCAGGTCGGGTCGCACACAGCATCCCAGCCTGTACATGCTAGCAGCTGAGTGTAGGCAGAGGCTTTGCCAGAGGCTCCAGGACCTGGGCAGAAGGTTGGGGGGGGAGAGGAGAGCGGAGATGCCTGGCTCTGGAGGGGAGGAGGATTGAGTGGGGAGGGGGCACGGTGCAGCAGCTCTGGCTACGGGACCCAAGCATAAGGTTGGAGGGGAGGGGGATTGGGTTACAGCAGGGAGGGGAGGGGAATGGGGTGGCAGCCTGGGTCCCGGCCAGCTCATGCTCAAAGCCAGCCACTCAGCACAAGTGCCCCAGCGTCTGGAGGGAGAAACGTGGCTGTAACAGCAGCGGTGGCTCCAGGACCCCAGAATTAAGTTAGAGCAGGGGGGAGTGGGATTGGGTTGGGGGGAGGGTGCCTGGCTCTGGGGATGGGGAGGAGAGGGAAATTGGGGTAGAACGGGTGGCGGATGCCTGGCTCTGGGGAAAGGGAGGGAGACTGGGTTAGAGCAGGCTGCTCTTCCATTCCCCTAAACAGCTGGCATTCTTCCTGAAATGCCAGGTCTGTCGCACCACCATGGACGTTTCCCCTTGCTGCCTGCCTACACAGGGGAGGAGGGGGAAGGAAGTAGGAATCCTGGGACTGCATGCCAGCTCCAACTTCTCAGGAAGCACGTGGCTGTCGTGGGGAGCAAAGGAAAAGTGTGCACTTCCTGAGAAGTTGGAGCTGGCATGTAGTACTGGGACTCCTATCCCCACACCCACCCTGCGCAGGCAGGCAGCAGGGGGGAAGGAAGTCCCTGGAGGAGCGACAGACCGGGCATTTAAGGAAGCGCACCAGCTGTTTAGGGGAGGGGAAGAGCAGCCCACGTGCTTCCTGAGACCCAGGATCCCCAGGTTTTGGCCCCAGCTGTCTGTCTCCTCCTTCTGGCCAGATTCCCCTCCCCCACGAATACCCTGCCCCAGCACCCTGTCCACTGCCCCCACCAACACAGTTGGGGCCACATTAGTGAGGTTTGGGGGATTTGAAAGGGTTGGGTTTTTTTTGCATCTCACTTGTGAGGCCCCAACTGACTTTTCTGAGGGTCAGTAATCCCTGACTCAAAACAGGTTCCCCGCCCCTCTCATAAATAAAGACAACGCCGAAACATTTTGTGTTGGACATAATATTTTATTTAAAAATGAAGCCTGGCCAACAAGCCCCCAAATGGCTGCAGCATCCTGCACACCCCAGACACCAAACCTGAGCCTATCATACACTGGAACCCCCTATCCTGAGCCTCTCACATCCCCAAACTCCTGCAAACCCACATCTCTAGACTTTTGCCACAACACTCCTGCACCATCCACACACTGCAAATCTGTGTCCTGAGCCCATCATACTCCCAGCCTCCCTGCCCTGAGCCCCTCATGAACCTCCGCTCAAATTCCTGTACTCTCACATCCACAAGCCTGCAGTTTGCTCAGCACCCCAACCCTCCACCTGACCCCAACACTCTCCAGCCTGGAGCCCCCTCCCTGAGCCAGCATCCTCTTCTCTACTTCCTCTTGCACCCAAATTCCCTCCTAGAGCTTACACCTCTCACCCCTTCCCAGTGCTTTTTTTGTGAGCCACAACAGCAGTGGAAACAGCATGAAGAGCAGGGCCTAAGTTTTTGGAAAAAAAAAAAGCAGCTGTGGGACCGATGTACCAGCACCTATTTTCCCCCAGTGCAGCTTTTTAGTTGGGGGGAGAGGATTAACTTTTCTCCCAGTCTTCATGCCCCCCCTTTTTTGGCTCAACAACTTTGCCCCAGCTCTTCACATTGTCTCCACTGCTATTGTGGCTCTTTGTGTGGAACGGGTTGGCCACCCCTGCTCTACAGCTTGAGCTATAAAACCAGCTGGCTCTCAGCTTAGACTGTAGAGCTCCCTTGTTCTTAGCTCTCATTGTAAGTGGTCTAAGTGCCACTACATGGGACAGTGGACCACACTAGGGCTATGTCTAGACTACAGAGCTTTTCCGGAGGTATCCCATAAAAGCTATTCTGTGTCCAAGGAACACATCCCCTTTTACAGAACAATTTCCAAAAAAGCAAACACATTCTTTCACCATCCCTGTAATTCTCATTGTATGCGGAAGAAGGGATGTGTCGAAAGCAGAGATTTTTCTGAAATTTGGCCCCGTGTAGACGGGCCAAATTTCGGAAAAGCCTCTTTCAAAAAAAAAAAAGCAGAAAAAAATATGCAAATTGTGGTTCACGATTTGTGTATCTTTTTCCGACTTTTCTTTGTAGGGCAGACCTAACCAAGGTATGTGGATTACAAAAGCAAAGGTGGTCTGTCACATTTCATGTCTCTTTCTAAGCTGATGCTCTGCCTCTGTGAAATACTCTTCTACTGCCTGAATGAATGTAGTTTCCTAAAGCCAAACAAACTGGGAAAATTAGAACAATGGTCAGACTCTGTGGAAGGGTTTTTAGAATTATTTGTTTGAACCACTGGAAATTCTGACTCAAAGGAAAAGGGAGATTAATATTGGTTTTGATACAACTTTTAAAAATCTAAATTGTTTAACCAAAAATCTCATTAGAAATGAGAGCTGGAGAAATTTGATTGCTTTAAGCTTCCAACACTGACAGGTATTGCTCCATTAGGTTCACTTTGCTAAGTGAAGCTTTTAAGTCCCACCTAATCTGAGAAATGGTATTGAAAACATAATTAAAAAACTTTCAGGAGGCCCCAAGGGATTTCTTAGTATTGTTTGCTTGAAGACTTTATGTACTCTCCTCAGGAAGAAATATAATCATTGAAGCACTATCTGGAATGATTAACAATAAAGCTTTGCTATTAAGCTTTTTACTGATTCTGCAGCCTGAAAGAAGCACTTTATTTCCTCAGTCATAGTTTAGGGTGGGTAAAATAGAAAGGAGCATGACTACAGTTCTATACAGCATCT